CAACAACAATATTTTTTTTCTGGATTAAAATTTTTACAGAGGGTGAAACACAATGCCCTTATCAGGGGTGGGTTTCAACCGGTTTGCGGCAGTCCCTGAGAACCGGTTGGTCGCCGAACCCGGAAGTAAGTAACTTCTGGGAACGGCGAAGGGCCCGCCGGCCGGCCCGCGGTCCTTACCCGGTTTTGACGAGTTCTGCGCTTCCACGCATGCGCAGGACGCATACAGCACCTGCGCGATCGTCCAGGAGCAGCTGGAGCATTGCACAGACGCTAGTAGGCATGCGTGCACTGCGCATGTGCACGAGGGCGCCGCCGGCCCCGTTCCAACCGAACCAGTTGGAACGGGGCGAGAAACCCACCCCTGGCCCTTATCCTTATTTCCAAAAACCAAGCAATATACTAACCTATTCTGAAGAAAACTGGTCTTCCTTTGCAAACAGCCTCGCATATTTTCCCAGGTGGTGCATACATATCACTATTGCTTCTAAATGAACAATCCTGAAACACCAGTCCACCGAAGAGAGGCTGAAACACAATATGTTTTTTCCCCTTTTCTTTTTAAAGTAAAACTAGACCTTCATGCAACATGTTGACCTATTTTGAAAATCATTTCATGGACAGAAGATGGGGAAATTCCGCTGGAAGCTGAAAAACAGATTGTCAAATTCTTTTGTAAGGGAGTTGTAATTTGATATCAAACCTTCATGTTCCTTAAAGGGGAGAAAACATGTGAAAGGCCATGACCTCAGCTTGACCCTATCTTGGTCAATCTCTAGACAAACAGATTTTTAGCTTCCTATATTACATGACTATCATGTGTGGAGAAAATGTTGCAGAAAGATAACTCAAGTTGAATGTGCGTCAAGAATATGATGCATGACATTGGCTCAGAGAAATATTTGGAGTAAGTATGGTAACATTCCAAAAGCAGCTAAAATATACAAGATGCTCTTCAATACCGAATTCCTGAAATACATTAAGTAGAACTGTTTTGGAAGATTATTCACACATGATAATTGGTTCAAAATGCAGATAATTACACAGAGAGACTTTTGCAGAGCACACAAATCCAATATTATATCATCTTCCCATTTTTTTCTTGTTTCTAAATTTTTATCCAAACACCTTGTTTCGACCTATAAATTTACAAACTAGCATATGTTTACATATAAACCAGTTGAACAATCACTGAATGCATCTACTCTCATTGCTGTTGGGACCTCTTTGTTTTTGGGGTTCCCTCTCCTTCTTTGGCAGCAAAACCACAATGTCAATACATAGAATAACTAGTAAAACACAATCTATTTTGGTAAAGTCTGCCTCGCTGTCTAAGAATAGAGCTGGTCCCGCTATAGTACTGTATATGGTAATCCCAAAATAATGAAAAAAATTGTGATGAAATTGCATATGAATTAAAGAAAACTTCAGCATCTATGTAATTGTAATTGCCACAGAGACATGTGTATTATTTAATGAAGATGAAGGCTAAAATACCAAGCATAATTCACTTTTGAATTATGCAAAAACATATTCTTATTCAACTTCCTTATAGGGTAGTCCTCTTGACCTGCTTTTGTCTTCCTAGCTAATGTTCAAAATATTTAGAATTTCTTCTGGCATAAATTTGGAGCTATGATTCAAGTCCTGTATTATTGCAGATTTTAGAACTTGAACTACATGTTTACATAAAAAACACCCATGCAGTTTTTCTCACCTTCAACATATGCACATACACACCAGTGGTGGGTTTCAAATTTTTTTAGANAGATCCCCAACAGCTTTGGCAAAGCTTTCGCATTCCATATTAGTAGAGGAATGGGATCTTTTCTTAAAAAGAGATTAATCTGTCCCTTGAAATTCTGACATGCCAGGAAATGGCTGTGAAGAAAACAGAGAATTACAGAGGTAAGACAAATAATGTATCATTTCTGGATAAGAATACTTGGAAAACCCTCCTGAATAAGACAGGTAAAATGTGATAAACTGACGTAAGTTGTAAATACATTGTTGTAATTTTATCATATTTTAACTGAAGAAGTTATTTTATTACAGTTTGGTCACGAATTTATGCAGATTAATGCCCTTTTCATTAAAGAATAGCAAAGAGAGTGAGTTTTATTCATGTTAACTAGCATTAAGTTTTCATCTGGTATATCAACAAGCAGATATTTGGTTTTTCTTAAGCATGATGCTATCTCTCTCTCTCTTTCTTTTCGTTGTTGCATCAAATCTAATGCAGCTATAAATCCCAATTATTTTGTTCACCCCTTCAAATGCAATAGATAACGTATATTGATTAACCAAAGAGTTTCATAAATTAAGGCAGACTATTTTCAGGAGAAATGGGGATTGCTTTTTCTATGAAAAGATAGATGTTTTCCCTCCCGCTCTTTCCGCTTTGTGAGAAGGCATGTATCACTTTTAAAGCTTTTAAAGTAGAAAAATCAGAGACTTTCAGTATTTGCAACCAAAAAATCTAGCGGGAGAGGCTCATTTAACAAAGATATTTTTTTTTCTTTGAAAGTGAAAGAAATACACCCAAAGATTGATTCGGACTGAAATTACTTTCATGCTCTTGGTGGCTTTAGAAATGGAGCCACCTGCTGTCCATTCTGTCAGAACCTGACAGTTTAATTAGCAAGAAAAGACCTCCCTCGCTGGATTCTCTTTTATGTGCCAGAATGAGAGAAAAATCTCTTCTTCCCTCCCCGCCCCTCCCTTTCCTTTACCCCACTCCCCTACCCCTGTTCTGCTCTGCTCCCTATTATCCCTCTTAGCTCTAAAGATAAAAGTGAAGGAGATTGCCTACATCAACGGAGACACCAAGATCACTCCGGAAACGAAGAGCAAAACCATCTACAAGCTGAACGGAGTGACGGAAAGGGACCTGAAGAAGACCGTGCTCTGGCTGAGAGGTGGCCTTCAGTGTACCTGCGATGAGATGAACGACATCAATGCACCATATTTGGTCATGGGACAGAGGTTGGCTGGGGATTTGGTGATCACCTCCGTCAAGCGATGGCAGAAAGGCCAGCGAGCCTTTAAGAGGTTTTCACGCAGCATCCGCAAGCTGCAGTGCTAATTGCTTGGAGTTTCTGGTCACATTTAGTTGCCATGCCTTAAGTTCTTTCACATCTTCCTACCGCAGCCATAAACGCCCGGTAGCATGAAAAGAGTCGCTTCTTTTAAGAAGAAAAGAGACTCCCCTCCCCTCTAATTGTGTTCATATAATAAACTGTAATTGACCAAATCATGATTTTTCTTCTGTATAATTGTTTCCAAAATGTGTTGTTTAGAGCTGTGCAAAATGTAACTTTGATCTTCTTTTAATTTTTCTTTTAACTATTCATATTCATTATACATTTTGTCTGGCTAATCTTTCTGCGTAGGTTATATGTCCATTTTGGGCACTGGAGCCGACTTGTTCAGTTTGGTTTTGTTCCAAGTGAAAACAAATGTGGAAGCCACGGTGTGGGAGATAATTTTAAATGCCAATTTTGCAATTTGGCATTTAAAAGACAAACTTTATTTTAAACTTTCCTCTTAGCAGAAATTGTAACTCAAAAGATGGACAGAACAGAACTGAAGAATATCTTGCGAGTTTCTTTTCCCCAAATCCTCTGCTGAATTATACATGCTTAAGGCCTCTAACGTCCATGAGTTGGTGTGCATTACGCTTCAATCTAATGCATGCTTCTGTGGGGAAGTGCACTGCACTTTATGGGACTGGCGACCGTCAACATATGTTGCATTGCAAGCTTGCTGTAGAACAGTGATAGCCACCTTTGAGACCCCAAGTGCCCAAACTGCACACACGGATTCCCAAACTGAAAGGTGCATGCGCTTGCAAATGTGTGCAGGGATGCATATGCATGCACATGTGGATATGTGCGAACNTAGAAAAAAACCCCAGGGGTGTTCAAAATTGACAGCTCTAAGACTTGTGGACTTCAACTCCCAGAATTCCTCTTCTCACTCTTCATCTTGATGATGTCCGGACGGGCGGGAGGGAGGGAGCTGGAACTGGTTCTAAATGGCACTGTAGATTTGTGGAACCTCTTCTATAGAAGAGGTTAGAACTGGCAGGAACCCACCCCTGATGCACACCCTTAAGGAAAACAAAATATGGCCCAAAATATATGAGTTGTTCAAATGTGTTTTTGCTGTCTTAAATCATTTAATATACAATAGTGGCGAATATCTATAGCTTGGTGTAGGATGAGGGTGAAGGTTTGTCCTCCAAGCTTGTGGGCTGATTTCTGGATGTTTTGTTACCAGGCTAGGGAACATCTTCAGTGGAGATTAGGGGATGTCAGTGTCAGTGTTCTGTTTATAAGGGCTTCATGTGGTCAGCAGGTCTTGCAAATGGGTCAGGTGTGGATGTGTCAAATGAGGGTCTTGTGATGGTTCAGGAGAACGCTGCTGCTTTCCCACCAATGGTGGTGCCTTTTTTTCTACTTTCATTTTTACATGCTTTCGAACTGCATGTAAACTTTCGAACTTTATATGCTAGGTTGGCAGAAGCTGGGACAAGTAACGGGAGCTCACTCCGTTACATGGCACTAGGGATTCGAACCGCCAAAGTGCCGATCTTTCTTATCCTTAGTAGAAAGAAGAAAATTTCTCTTCCTTTTCAATGAAAATATTAGAATAGCATCATGGCTCCCATCTTGTTAAGGAAATAATGTATGAGAGGTATAGTCAATTCAAGTCATTCGGCTGCCTAAAGTTGAACAATCACTGTAAACCCATCTACTCTCATTGCTTTTTGCATTTTTATGGGTTCTGACTCCCTCTCTGGCAGCAAAACACAATGTCAATAATTAGTAACATGAATCTATTTTTTAAAGTCTGCCTCACTGTCTAAGAATAGATAGTATATAGTACAGTATACAGTAATTCAGTATACAGTAATAATGAAGAAAATATACATTGTTATGAAATTGCACATGAACTAAAGAAAACTGAAACATCAGTGCAATTGCCAAAGAGACGTGTGCATTATTTAATGAAGTTTAAAATACCAAGCATATTTCAATTTCAAATTGTGCCAAAATATATTCTTCTTTAACTTCCTTACAGAGTAGTTGTCTTGCCTTGCTTCTGTCTTCCTAGCTAATGTTCAAAATCTTTAGAATTTATTCTGGCAGAAATTTGGAGCTTACCTTATCTTTGTAAAGTGCCTTTTATGGGCCTGGGGGGGGGGGACAATCCATGTTTTCTTTCTGTTATATTTTTCTTTGATATTCTGCAGCCTCCTTCACTACATCCATGTTTGGATTTGGGAAAATAAAACAGGACAACACATTTCCTCAAGTTGTCCCGGAAGGCGTTGAAGAGACACTGCAAATGTTTGGACTAATGAGAAATCAGAGACAAACAGAACATTCACAGGCATCCTTTAACTGTAACTCAAGTAAGTTGCCCCACCCATGATAATTCACTGGGTTCCCCCTCCCTTGCTCCACAGAAATCAGATTAGAAAGTTAAAATGGGTTAAAAAACAAAGAAGAATTTTTCAACACAATACTAATGCAACTGTGTAAAGTTGAAAAATGTGTAACTTTTCAAACAATTCATCTAAACAACCAGTAATCCTTAGGAATAACAAACATCAGAATTCCAAGAACTGTGAAGAACATTTAACAGGGGAAAGATGGCTTACAAAATGGAACTGCTTCTTCCTAACAGATGTTTGAGGTGGGTTTTTTTTTTGCAAGAAACTAATTTTATCCCATATGAAAACGATAAAAAATATCTGGGGGATGGTAAAAAGTGTGTGGATCAGATTTTGATAAATGGAAATTCAAAAATGGCCAGAGGGGTAGAAATATAAAGGTTCAAGTTTCATAGCTGCACAAGAAATGTTGGACACTGAATGTTATTATGAAACACTTGTGGTTATTAATGGAGACAGTGAAATAGTTTGAATACATGCTTGTGGTCTGACTAGAAATAATGTATATACTTTATATAATTGTTTGGCAGGCATTTTCAATTTACAGGTAGACCTTATAACTGTAGGTTTTTAATTTAGTATTGGGTGCAATAAAGGATCATAACAAACTTTAAAAACAGAAAATCCTTTCTAAGAGCTGGACTGTTGTCATGCAAGCATGTGAGAATTTAATGTTGTTGATACATGGACACAATTAAATTTAGCCAAACTAAACTAAGTTTAACTAAACTATAAACTAAATCCTTATATGGCATATGTTCCCATTTTGGGCTACTGGTAATTTCTAAATCTCTGATTAATCTACCTAAAGGTGTTACATGACAGAACTGTGGTTCAGCAATGATGCCATTAACTTTATGCAAGATAATTTAGGTTAGACGGAAGTGATACTTGTATTATTGATAGATTGCTTTTTAGTTTATCAGCCATAACCACCCACCACATGTTGATGTGTATTTTTCTTTCCAAACAGATAATTGGCACTTATGAAAACTGTCTCTCAAGTATGTAAAAGCATACTTTGGAATCATATCATTCCTTTAAAATGGGAACTAGGGCAACTGTATGCTCTGCATATGGAATTTTCATTAAAGTTTCTTAACCAGATGTATTGGAAGCAGAAAAAAATATTTGCAAATTGTTGGTTTTTGTTTGAAACAATATGACCTAATACTCATAAGAGTCCATAGGGGACAAAACATGGGAACTATTACATAATTAATTCCCAGTTTTATTCAGCTTTATATTCTGTAAATGCAAGTACAGAAATATCATTTGAGCAAACTAATGACCTTTTAAATTGACTTACTTTTCCTAAAATTTTCTCATGAATATTTAAAGAGTTAACATTGCAAAATTTGATATTAGAATATAATTTATCAAAAAAAAATGCATATATAGTTAAAACCATTGTTTTGGTTATGGTATCTATTTTGTCTAGATGCTTTAGTAGTCTCTTAAATTTAGTAGTGTTTAAGATTTGTCATAGAAGCAAAACTAAAATTTCCTTATACATCTCTCAACACGAACATACACACACACCGGATTACATAAAAGAAATTTTGAACTGGGGATCTTAGATTACAAAACCAAATTCTCGGGTTCAAAAAAAAATGCTAAATATGTCAATTATAATTTTAAAAATGGGTTAACCCAACAAAATATTACGCTGCTCCAGTGAATGTCTTCAAAACGTTTGGCTGTTGTCTTTTCCTATGTCGCAATCGGATGGAAGGTGCATTAATCCATAGCCTTTGGTCATGGCTCCTGCTAGTTCCATTTGCTGAAACACTGTCTGCATGTTAAAGACACATATGTGCTATTAAATTACATCCCACAAAAGTGGAGTTTGTCTATTATGAAGAGCTTTGGGTTTATTGTGCTTGGGTTATAACAAGAAAAGGTGACATTGTTTTCCTGGAATGATGTGTATCAGATTTTAAGCCTGACTTACCTTTTTTTAAAAAAACTGTAAACCTTTGCCTTGACTTTATGCTAGGAGAAAGAAAGTAGAGGACACTACATTCATTTATTTGTAATGGTTTTTCTATCTATATTAGCATATATTTAGTTTATTACATACTGAATTTAAATTCTGCATCGTTCTTTTTCTTAGGGGCATTTTAAAAAAAGATGAATGAAACCCTGATATTAAGAAAAAATTAAGAGGGCGCAGCCCTCTCCTGCTGGACTTCTGCAAGTGGCATTTGAAGCCAAGTCCAGAAGTAACTCTGGGACTTCAAAATACCTCTTTAGAGACCTGCCCTCCCCCCCAAGAATGCGTGTAACCCATTCACATCCACTTGTCTAGAAATCCAAATGAGAGGCCCTTCCCTTCTCTATTCCTCAAGACAAACGATCTTTATCAAATGCAGAAGTAGAGAAGCGCTTCCTTCTCTACTTCTGCATTTCCATCGGCTTTCGCGGTCCTGCGAAAGGGCCGAGAAAGGCAGAGAAAACTCTCCTCCTCCGCTTTTCTCCCAGCCAGGCTCGCTTGTCTACGCTCCGGTTCTGTTATCTTTCTTTCTAAGCCAAAGAATCCCAATTCTTTCAAATTTGATCAGCGGAAGTATTGGACCCTCTGATCATTCTGATTGGCATTTTGCCGATTTGTATTTTATCCCGTTTTTTTTAAACAAAAGCAACAACGTTCCTTCCCGCACCGCACACGGCAGGCGCGCCCCAGATGCTGCAGCTTCCCCACCACCACCACTATCACCACCACCACCTTCGTTTCCGAGGGAGGCAGATTCGGTTTGTTGGGACCGATCTGGGAGAGAAGGGGGGGGGGGGATGGAGAGATATGCATGGAGAGAGAAAGAGGGAGGGAGACAGAGAGAGGGAAGGGAGGGTGGGGAGAGAAAGAGAGAGTGCGGGAGGGAGGTAGAGAGAAGGAAGGAGAGAAGGGACGGAGATGGAGAGGGAAGCTGGGAGAGGAAGAGGGAGGGAAGATGTGAAGAGAGAAGAGAGAGAGAAAGAAAGGAGGAGGGAGGGATGGACGAAGATAGAGAGGGAAGGAGGGAAGGAGAGAAAGGAGGGAGAGGGGGAGAGAAAGAAGAGGGAGGGAGAGAGGGACGGAGATAGAGAGGAAAGGACGGAGGGGAGAGAACGAGGGAGGGAAGGAGAGAGGGGGAGGGAGAGAAGAGAGAAAGGAGGAGAGGAGGAAGAAGGGAAGGAGAGAGGGGGAGGGGGAAAGAGAGGGATGGAAGGTGGGAAGGAAAGAGAGAGAAAGAAAGGTGGGGTGGGGTGGGGAAAGAAAGAGAGAGCACGAGAGGGAGGGAGAGAAGGAAGGAGGGAAAGGAGGAGGGGGGAGATAGAACGAGGGAAGCAGGGAGAGAAAGAGGACTGAAGGGGAGAGAGAAAGAGGGAGGGAGAGAAAGGAGGGAGGGACGGAGATAGAGAGGGAAGGAGAGAGGGGAAGAGAGAAAGGAGAGAGCGCGGGGAAGAAAGAAGGGGGAGGGAGGAGCGGAGATAGAGAGAGAGGAAAGGTCAGAGGGGGGAGAAGGAGGGAGGGAAGGACGGAGAGGAGAAGAGAGAAAGGAGGGGGAGAAAAGGAAAAAGGGAAGGAGAGAGGAGGAGGGGGAGAGAGGAGGAGGGGGAGAGGGATGGAAGGCGGGAAGGAAAGAGAGAGAGAGAAAGGAAGGGGAGGGAGAGAGAAGGAAGAAGGGAAGGAGAGAGAGAAAGATTGTGGAGCGCGGGCGGCGTGCTTGTTAGCCCCTCTGACTTCAAGGCCGAGCTTTTTTTTCTCTTCCCCAGGCGTACTGAAAGAAGCAACATTTCGGATTGTCCCCGGCGGCGCTTCCCTTTTTGGCAGACAAGCAACAAGTTTGGAGAGGAGCGGGCCGGGAGATGGAGAAACAACCCCGGAGGGGACCAGCCCGCTCTCAGAGCCGCGGCGCTTAACTTCGAGCAGCGCCGTCCGGGCTCCTTTCTGGGCAGCGCGTGGAGAGGCCCCTCCCACCCCAGGCCCCCCAAAGCGAAGCTTCCACGGCCCCGGCGAAAGCCACGACCAATCCCTGCCGGCTTTGGGTCCGATGGCCCCGCCCCCCCACCGCCCTCCCAATCCCCCTTCTCCATTTGCATAAAAAATGCCCGCAGGAGCTCGAAACGTCGAGAGTGCCGGGCAGCGACTCCGTCGGTGCGCGAGACGCGGGAGCGCTTCGGGGGAAGCTGCGCGTGGCCGGCCGGCGGGAGGGTGAAGCTCGCCGCTCCCCGCCGCTCCCTCCGCCTCGTTCCGCCGCCCTTTCCCCGGCCGCTTCTGGCTTCCCAAAGGGGGGCCCTTCCGCTCAGCTCCCCTCGGCAAGATGCGCCCTCGGCAAGTTCTCCCGCGCCTGCTGCTCCTCTCCGCGGCTTGCCTCGGCCTGGCCGGCGGGCTCTTCCTCTTCGGGGAGCCCGAGTTTTCCTACAAGCGGTCCAACTGCAAGCCCATCCCCGCCTCCCTCTTGCTGTGCCGCGGGATCGAGTACCCCGACATGAGGCTGCCCAACCTGCTGGGCCACGAGACCATGCAGGAGGTGCTGGAGCAGGCGGGCGCCTGGATCCCGCTGGTGCAGAAGCAGTGCCACCCGGACACGCGCAAGTTCCTCTGCTCCCTCTTCGCGCCCGTCTGCATCGTCGACCTGGACGAGACCATCGAGCCCTGCCATTCGCTTTGCGAGCAGGTGAAGAACAGCTGCGCCCCGGTTATGTCCGCCTTCGGCTTCCCGTGGCCCGACATGCTGGACTGCAGCCGGTTTCCCCAGGACAACGACCTGTGCATCCCGCTAGCCAGCAGCGACCACGTCCTCCCGACTCCCAGAGAAGGTAAGAGCCGCTGAGGGCGCTTGGACGGGGCGCAGCCTGTGCAGGTTAAGCAACGCGGACCGCCGCGCTAGCCTCTCTTGGGAGCAAATCCGAAATCTGATCTCCTGATCAAGAAGATCAATAGCAATAGCAATAGCAGTTAGACTTATATACCGCTTCATAGGGATTTCAGCCCTCTCTAAGCGGTTTACAGAATCAGCATATTACCCCCATATGCCCCCACAGTCTGGGTCCTCATTTCACCCACCTCGGAAGGATGGAAGGCTGAGTCAACCTTGAGCCGGTGAGATTTGAACCGCTGAACTGCANGGCAACTAGATATAGCTCATTGTTTTAGCTTAACAGTGTTATGGATTCTTGTCTCTTTGCTAAGAATATAAAAGTACCAAAGAGTTATGTACTTTATTTAAATCAATAAGTGCAAAATCTTATCAGAAAATACATTTTTCATACATTACAATCAGTAAACTAAAATAGCTCCAGGAGGTGCTTTTTGCTCTTCAAAAAATAAATGAATCTTAATGCAAATGTGCTGGTCATTTTCTCAGACACTGAAGACAACAGGAAGTCTAGCTTGTGGTTCATCTTAGGATACATTCAACTAAACAACTTATTCATTTTATGCTTTTAACTGATTTATATGCTCCTATCTCTTAATGGCTCTAGGGAGCTTTCAAAAGATAACAAAAACCAATAAAATGCCATCTAGCAATTGAGTGATTATCATGGTTGTTTGCTCTTAGCAATCACCAAATCCTAAAACACTATAAAATGATGTACATTACAATATATTTATACTTGTTTAATATTTAAACAATAAGCCATCATACAATATATGCTCTTGTTCAATACTGAATGTGTCAGAATATTCATGAACTGGCAGAGACATGGTAACAAAGTCAGCCAATGAAAAAGCATTGCAACTAAGTCAGCCAATTAGGGCTGTTTGGAAGCAGAAACTTAAGCTAGGAGTCTGGGCGTGGCTTAGCTCTGTGCTCAGCTCTAAAATCAAACTAGTCTGGACTTGTCTGCTGATCTGGACTGAAATGAAACTGTTCTCTGCTCTTTGTATGGTATATATTATTTAATGTCTTATTATGTATATAAAGACAAGTTAATGAATCCTGCTGAATTAGTTACCTGTGTGTGCTTTTTGGATTTGATTTCTGCAACCCTGACAGAATGTAATAGATGCTTTTTAAAAAAATAATTAATCATGACTTAAAATCTATCTGTGTTGGTTCCCCTGCTGGCCTCATTTAATTGGCACACCTAAGTTAGCTCAATGGATACATCATACTAAACACAGTGTGGCTTCTTTGAGTTGGCTTATTGTGCTATGCAGTCCCTGTGATTTATAAATCAAGATTTACAGTTTAGCATGATACATGAATTCAGGTAAGATCTTACTGAATGTATCACAGTTAAGCAATAAGTGGCTTAATGCAATCCATAAATTTCATCTATCACTTCTCTCAATCTCTCTCAATTAATTGGTTCTCTGCTAGAACCGTACCTTAGCTGCTACACGCTCCCCTGCTAATTTCTTCTTTCTCATATATATCAACAATTGGACAAAAGCTAGTGTTGCAGGTCCCCAATATTTCTGCCGAGAGAAAAGCAGTCAAAGTACATGATGATAAAAAAAAGTCTGGAGTTCAAGGAATCACACTTGCCTCCTGCTAACGGACTACTCTGGACTGTATATCCTAAACCATAACAAATTCTTCACACCAGAGGTGCTGCCAAAACTAATGGAAAGGGTGTATCATACCAACTTCTCACCTAGCCTTTTATTGCCATTTTCAAATTAAACCAAAATAACTGCTGTTGATCATCATCATTTGGCCATTCAAGGTAAGTTTTGGTACTCATTAATTTTCGGAGTTTGCAAAACCTTTCCGGGATTGTTTTTGTCGAAATAGATTCCAGGAGGATCAAAATGGCTGTGTCATTGTTCTCATCAAAAAAACGGAAGTGGGAAAAATCCAATTCGTACTTGCACCACTCACTCCGTACAAAATTCTTCGAAAGCACAAAGAGGGTTTTAGAGCTCTTCTCAATGGAGTCAATAATATTGTCTACAATCCATTTGCCAGGCATAAAATCTCTCTTATGAAGACAAAGTTTAAATGGAGGGTTTGATTGCTCCAACATCTGCACCATAATATTTTCCACCCATTCAGAGTCTTGTTCACTGTAGGAAACGAATGCATCATAGCAGACTGCCTGGTTACGGGTCCTTTGAGGTTTGCGCTTTGCTTTGAGCCAGGCCAAAGTCATGCGCATATACCAAATGACGTGAAACTTGTAGCAAAGAAATACTGACACCAAGATGATCAGAATTATCAGAATACAAAGGATGGAGACAAAAGTACTGAAATGACAGTCAGTCATTTGCAGCTGGGCAACTCCAATCCGCTCCCCTTTTACATAATCTGGAAAATCACAGATGTAATTCTCAGGCCAACCAATACAGATATTATATATTCTTGGATAAGACTGTACAAAGGAAACAAATTCACACTTGCATTGAAAACTGTTATAACCGGCATCCAGCAATTTCAGTTCCGGAAACTTTTCCAGTTCGTGCTCATTGAACCCAAACACATTGTTTTCTCTAATAGTCAAAAACCTTATGTGAGGGATGAAGGCAGCATCTGGTAGAGTTTTTAACCTATTGTTTTTAAGGTAAAGTTCCTGAAGATGAGGCAGGTCCACCTTAAAATCACTGAGTAAATTGTTGCTTGCATCCAGAATTTCTAAAGAGTTAGGGATGCAACCTGTAAGTTTCTCTACTTTACAGCCAGATATGTTTAAATATTTCAAGCTTTTTGGCCAATGGCATGATTCTGGCATGTGTTCCAAGTTGTTCTGACTTACATCTAGGTTAGTAAGATGAACTAAATGAGCCACGCTTCGAGCCGTCCTATCAAGATATGTCAAAGAATTTTGACTAACATTGAGAGTCTGTAGCTTAGGCCAACTGCCTGGGCAAAATGAATGCTCAAAAAACAAATCCTGAAGCAAATTCATATTGAAATCAAGATACTGTACTGAATGGAACCTTTTTGCAAGTTCGCAAGGCACAAGAAAAACTTTTGTGTTTTCAATGGTCAGACTGGTAATATTCTCTACAAGATACCATACGGATGAAAGATCTGAAAATAAATAAAATGATTCTATTGTTAAATTACTAATTGTTATTATACGTACATTACTAGAAATTTTCTGTCTACTAAAAAAGTGCCCAGTACCTTGTAATCTGCTATCTATAATTTCTAACTCTTGTAACTGGGTCATACCAGACAACACAGGAATTAAAGAAACAACATCACTTTCTAAAATATCACTATCTCTAAATCCAAGCTTTTGAACAGTCATCGGAATCTCTTTGAAATAAGGGATAAGGGGTGAAAGGTGTATATGTCTCAGTTCAAGAAACACCGCTGAATTTTGAACATCAATTAAAATCCGATACAATATGGAGTTGACAGTAACATTCAAAATAATGTGATTTATGCGTTCAAGAGACTGTAGAGCTCCTGGTGAATATTGTTTAAGATTCTTTCCTTCAATCTCCAGTTCTTCAAGAACTGAAATTCCTTCAAAATCTTTTGTCTGTAAAGAAGAGAATTGATCATTTCCCAAGTATAGATATCTCAGCTTTTGTAAGCCAGAAAATAAGGGAAATTTCCCAAGATTTGGGTAGGAATTCCCCTTTAGGTTTAATGTTTGTAAAGAAGAAAGCTTTCTGAACCAAGAGGGTGACAAATAGGTCAGGTTATTCCATGATAAATCCAAATGCTCCAGCTTTCCAAGGAAGTCAAAGGCATGCTCATCAATTGTCTGAATTAAATTGGATTGAAGCGAAAGTGTTCTAAGATTGACGGCAAGCTTTAGGTCAACATCTCGGATATGCACAATACTATTGAAGGCCAGGTCCAGTCCCAAGACAGCATCTGATAGGCCCAGCGGAACAGCGTGCAGACTCTTCCCGTGAAAATTGCAATCAGCAACGTCACAAAATGGGGTGTTCTTTTCATCAGAAAGACTTTTAGCTCCAGCAATTGAGATCAGCCAAAGGCTCCAAATTGGCAACATCATGAGAGTATCTAAAAGATTTAAAAAAAAAATCAATGTTATAATGCAATAGATAATACATTTGGTAATTTTCAGTAGTTTGGTTATAAAAACAAGATGCAGTCAATATTAACAAATATCACACAGAAAGCTAGAGGTAGCTTTAATTACAGCTGGACATTATTTCTTATGCATTCAGCTAGATCAATCCGGGGACCACTGGTGGGCTGCAATGTCATTGGGGGGGAACAAGAAGAATTGATGCACTCTTTAAATCTTGAGATAAGTCTTGTTGGTCGATGGCCACAAAAGGTATTTAAAGGGGTCCATGGTGAAGAACCACTGAACTAGTCTGTATAGCAACCACAGAATATAATTTATACCCCATTATGATAGCTGCCTTATTCAACAAGGGCATGTTTATTTGGTTCAACTCATTTGGTTCAACTCATAGCTCAACCCATATTTGGGAACCCAAAGGTTCAGTAACTATACAAATAGCTATTTTTTGTTTTGTTTTGTTCCTAATCCCAATTCCTTCTTCCTTGGAAACCAGGATATACATGTCTGGCTTTAAACACTGGAGCACAAGAGAAAATAAAAGACAAGTATAGGACAAAAGTAGTTCGCAAAAATGAATACGTTTGCCCAGTGGACAGAGTTTATTTTCCAAATCTGTTACTGTTATTCACAGGAAACAATTGTGAAGACTAAACATGCAGGTCAGTTTGACCTCTGTTTCAAAGAAGAAACAAACTATTTCCTGCAATAACCAGGGGAATAATAATGTGCCCAGATTTCAAGCAAATTTGAGCACAAGGCAATGAGCAGTGTGACTGCAATAGAAGAGTGAAATTACATTATAGATTATAATAAATTATAGAATCCATAAGACCTAAAATGGTGATGTAGCTGCAATCCTTATAATGAACTCATCCAAAAGAACATTTCATTTTTCCTGCATTTTAATTCACCGCTTTCATGATTACCGTACATCACTTACTTCATCACTCAATTATAGAAAGATAGGTCACCTTCTTATGCTCTAGATTCCCTTGAATATTCTGTGAATGCCATCCCCATTTCTCTGTGATTAATACTCATTGAAGAGACAAACTATAGTACATTTTTATCCATTGTAGGAGTTAAGCATTTTACAGCCAACATGATTATCTCTTATCTCTGCAAATTGGAGCAGGCTACATATTTTTTTCAAAGTTTTTTTATTTTTATTTTCACATAAATATCCACAAGTATACCATTATATCTTGACAAACACTGTCATGTGTTATCCAATATTATATCAATTCTTCTCACCATCTATGCACAATAACTCTCCTTTGCTCTTCTGCTTTCCATATACCATATTATACCCTATTCAACAACACTACCTCCTCTCCCTCTTTCCCCCTCCCTACTTCCTTTCTTCCCTTTACCATCTCTCTCTTCTCTACTTCCCTTTCCTCTCTCCTTTCTTCCCATCTCTCTCTACTTCCCTTTCCTCTACTTCCCTTTCCTCTCTCCTTCTCCTCTCTCCTCTTTCCATGGAGCAGACTACACATGATGACATGTTCTACTTCTGCTTTAAGTTTAGACACCAAAGAACCACAAGTAAGGAATCTTGAAATGATCT